CCCCCCCCTTTCCTCCCTCCACCCGCTTTGCCCTCCACGACCTGACATTATTATCAGTGGGAAAATACGTAACGCTTGATGGACTTCTTCCTCTAAAAAAAAAGCCCAAAAAACAGAAAACGTTTGCTTGAATCACAACTAACTGACAAGTTTGTGTCTTTTTCTCTTTTCTCTCTTTTCTCTCTCTCTCTCTCTCTCTCTCTCTCTCTCTCTCTCTCTCTCTCTCTCTCACACACACACACACACACACACACACACACACACACACACACACACACACACACACACACACACACGCACATACAAACACATTACATACAAACTGACACATGACAATACATAAACAAACACGCACATACACATAAACACACACGCACACAAGCACACGCAGAGAGGGAGAGAAAAAGAGGGAGAGTTGGGGGTGGGCAGAGAAAGAGAAAGAGAGATAAAGAAGGGAGAAAAAGAGAGAGAGAGAGAGAGTGAGAGAGAGAGAGAGAGAGAGAGAGAGAGAGAGACTTTTATAAGATGGGGGGAGGGGCAGACAGACAGACACACAGTCACAGACAAACAGACATTATACGAATAGATAGATAGATAAATAGATAGATAGATAGATAGATAGACAGACAGACAGACAGACAGATAGATAAATAGATAGATAGATAGATAGATAGATAGATAGATAGATAGATAGATAGATAGATAGATAGATAGTACAGGTAAAGTTACTTCACAGTGAAACGAAAAAAACTTAGTTCTCGATGTCCTCTTGTTCTGGTCACACATGTGTGAGTACTAGCAGCCTGACTTGCTCAGTAACTTAGTGGACACACTGTGTAGATCTATTTGAAGTCTCAACGACCCAATAAATGTTATTCTAACAATCTACCAATTTTTTATATCTTTTAAAGTTATAGATAAAAACTCATTGATTATTGAGGTGTGAGCTTTCTCTCTTCCCTCCGACTTTTGGTTTTACCAGCAGGAATATTTCTAAACCCGTTTCAATTCTGGTGAAGTCCACTCCAGAAGCATTGTTTTCATTTGCTGAGAAACACTTGTCTCGCTTTTGCCCTTCCTCGAGGGATTTTTTTTCCTCCTCGGAACCGAGGTGTAAGTAATGTGGGTTTTGCCTTGGTCAAGTTGGCTCCTTTGGACTGAAGCCAAATGGAAAGCGTTGATTTTTACCGCAGTAGACGTGACATGCTGCTATAACCATACTGTTGGAGAGCTCTCTCGGGTGGTTGGAGGCCGCCATCGGTAGGTTTTTATTTCTTTACTCTTCTTCTGTTATTTACGTGTTTATTTGTCGGAAGGGGGGG